AAAAAAATGGAGTTGGGCTGGTTATTAAAGATAAAGAGGGTGTGAGTCGGCATGGCCTCCATGGCAGCGCGTCAGTGAAGGCCTCCCCTGGGAAACCAGCTGGGCAATAGAGCTGCTGGAGATCAGCACCCACCTGTAGATTCAAGACTGGTTACCCCTTCCCTGGAATCCAGGCTGCGCGTCCAGCCTGGTTGGCCAGTAGAGAGCGCTGTGGAGTTGAGTGTCCAGCACCTTTAATGCTGGGTCTGTGGAAGCCCCACCGCGTCTGCCTGATCCTCTTGGAACTTGCTTTTGGGAGAAGGCAGCTCCCAGGTGAGAAGTTGGCTAAGGTGGAAACTGTGTCCAAGTATGTGTTGTCAATCCTAACTCACTATCAGTCGGAGTCAACTTGGCGTCAGTAGGCTTTTGCCTTTTGCTTTATACCTGTGGAGGAGATCCCATTTGGGAAGAGGGTTTTCTTTGTGATTAGGCCACGCTGCTGTTGTTGTTAGGTGACCCACGAACCGCAAACGGGACCCTGCCTGGTCCTGCTCCGTCGTCCTCCCAATTGTTCTGCTGTTTCAGTCCATGGTGGCAGCCAACGTGTCAATCCGTCTTGTCCAGGGTCCTCCTCTTTTTCCCTGTAGGCTGTGCCTTTTTATAACTGGAAGGTGTGTCTAAACCAATCACGTCTGAGACATAAACAAGGAAGCAATGGCATTCCTATGGTTGGTGTCTCCCATCACAGTAACTTAAGGTGTCATCGCTCTCCCTCCATGCCCTTTCGACCTCTTTCCAACCAGTTCATATAATCCACAAGGCCACCAGAGCTCCTCACAGGATCCTTATTGTCAGTTCCGATCACAGAGTGACCTGTGACAAGCACAGCTGTGAATGGCTGACATGTCATGTTTCTTAGATTACAGGAATGGTAACAACAAAACTCTTTTGTAACGTCTACATGGGTGTTTAGGGTTTTTCTTTTTCTCCTTCTTTTCCTTTAATTATCACTTCATTCTCAAAAAAAAACATAAAACAGGCGAGAGTGTTGGGGTTGATATAGATTCATAAGTACAGCGGTTAAACATCAGAACAGTTGACAAAATCCCACCACTGCCCTGAAGTCCATTTCAGCTTATAGCAACCCGACAGGACAGAGTAGAACTTCCTCGTAGGGTTTTCAAGACTATACCTTTTTTTAAAAATCGCTTTATTGGGGGCTCGTACAGCTCTTATCACAATCCATCCATCCATCCGTTGTGTCAAGCACTTTTGTACATTTGCTGTCATCATCATTCTCAAAACATTTGCTTTCTACTGGACCCTTGGTATTAGCTCCTCATTTTCCCCTTCCCTCTCTGCCCGGCCCCCCATGAACCCTTGACAATTTGTAAATCATTATTATTTGGTCATATCTTACATTGTCCGACGTCTCCCTTCACCCACTTTTCTGTTGTCCGTCCCCCAGGGAGGAGGCTATATGTAGATCCTTGTAATCGGTTCCCCCTTTCTACCCCACCTTCCCTCCACCCTCTTGGTATCGCCACTCTCACCACTGGTCCTGAGGGGATCATCTGTTCTGGATTCCCTGTGTTTCCAGTTCCTATCTGTACCAGTGTACATCCTCTGGTCTAGCCAGATTTGTAAGTTAGAATTGGGATCATGTTACTCGGGGGGGTTGGTGGGGGGAGGAAGC